AATCTACAATTCCTTGAGGACCCTGGGTTCAGGTGCTTGGAACCAATTTCTACCCCACACTCTCCTGGGCAGCTTGACAGGTGCTCAGGAGATCACCGGGAGGACGGCAGGTTGGCGTGCTTAGGGTTTAACCCTCATCCTCTACATGAGGCAGTACCTCATCCTTGTCATCAGGTCCCCTCCCCATCAGGAAGACACCAAAAGCATTATAACCCATAGAAAGTGATAACACTACACACTATGGAATGACTTGATAAACAAGATTCTTTGTTCTTGACCTTGTGGGGAAGGGTGGGGAATGGACAGAGGGGCAGAAGCTGTGGGTGAAGGGTTGGGGGACCCAGGATGCAAAGGTGCCAGTCCTGGTGGGTCTTGCAGCAGGAATCAAATGGGCTTGCTGAGGTGCTTCCCTGTCAGTCAAGATGAAAGGAGGAGACGTAGAGACCATTTGCAGAGACGTAGTGCAGAGGTTCTGTTGGGGAAGCTGATCACATATCCATCTGGCAGCGTCACCTTGAACTGATTATCCTGGAAGACCATAGTGAACTGCAGAGGGAGGGAGGAGTCAGGAAGGAGGGAGGAGGCCGGGAAGGGTCCTGATGCTGCCTGGTGGCTTAAACTCCTGTATCCAGGCAGGGGCTCTCCCATTTGGGCTCTCCCTGTGACACCCTCCCTGAGGTTTGTTCCCTTTGACCTCACCTTGACATCGGATCCCGGAGAGAAGCACATATGGTCGACCCGAAGCTCTTGTCCCCAGTTGGTGCCGTCCCACGAGTTGAGGACAATGGCGGATTCGTCAAAGCGAGGGTTAAAAACAAGGTTCAGGAGGTCTTTCCCCTGGCCCAGCTTAATGTAAAAGCTGTAGGAAGATTGACAGTGAGGACAGCGTAGTCCTGGCCAACCACAAGCTAGAAGAATCACCAAGATGTTTTAACTGAGATCTGAGCCTTGAAATGAGGTGGCGATGGAGTCAGTCATGGCCCTGTAGTGCTGTGATCCATTTGGAGCAGGGACTGAGGCTATTGACAGTAACTGATGGTGACAATTTCAGAAATTAAGTGTGTGTTTCCTGGGTGAATAAATTCAAGACCTGTTCAGATTGACAATAAATAGCCAACCCTAAGTGATGAGCTCCCTGTCACCTGAGGTATGTCAGCAGGGGATGAATGACTTGGCAGGATCACTACCGAAGCCTGGGCTAGACGTTCATGTCCCTGCAAATAGCTCATTCTGGGTTGTGGGATTCCATCACTGGGGCATGTCAGACCAGGTGTCCCTGCATGCCTGCAAATTTGAGGGACACAGAAAAAGAGGTTTTGCCTTAGCTCCTACACCACGCATCTGCCTACAGACTTCCGATCCCTAGGTAGCTAGAGATTAGTCCCAAGAAATGCTGTCATATAATGTCCACAAAGGCCAGAAGAGGGCTTCAGCCTCCCTGGATCTGGAGTTAGGAGTGATTGTTAGCTGCCATGTGCATGCCGGGAACTGAACCCAGGTCTTCTGCAACATTAGCCAGTGCTCTTCACCGCTGAGCCATCTCTCCAGCCCCAAGAACCATCCTTCTTATGGAATGTCTCTACTAGCATATAATGAGCATCCCCATTACCGGCACCATCGAAATAAAGGGACATTAAAATCCCCAGCACTCCCGAGCCCTTGGGTTCCCATCTGCACATTTGGTCCTTGTTGTCCTGAGAGAACAGACTCTTTTGTGCCTGGCACCAGGGACAGAGCACATGGTATGCATTTGGGACACACATCTTACCCCTGAGGTCCAACTCAACCCTCACAGAAGGGTCCCTCCTCCTTCCCCTTCCTCTAGCCAGGGTTGAAGATGGAATCTGGGGACCTGGGCTTTCTAAGGAGAGGGCTCTACCACTCCACTATGCCTGAATGCCTTTTTTATCTTTTATTTTTTTTAACTTTTTTTTTTTTTTTTGTGTGTGTGTGTGTGTGTGTCTGTTTTTGAGACAGGGTCTCCCTGTAGTCCCAGTTGGACTGGAACTTGCTATATAGACCAGGCTGGCCTGGAACTCACAGAAATATTCCTGCTTCTGCCTCCCAAGTGCTGGCATTAAAGGTATGGGCCACCATGCCTTAAACTTTTTTTTTTAATTTTTAAAAATTTTATGAGTATGAGTATACTGCCTGCATGTAAGTAAGTGCACCCGTGTCATGCAATTCCCGGGGAGGACAGAAGAGGCCATTGGATCCCCTGGAACTGGAGTTATGGACAGCTGTTAGCTGCCATGTGGGTGCTGGGATTCAAATCTGGGTCTTCTGCCAGAACAACCAGTGTTCTTAACTACTGAGCTATCTCTCCAGCCCGCTGAAGGCCTTTTGAAAAAGATCCTTTTGACAGTTGTAGATTTTAGATGCTTTCTTTGTTTTTAAAAGTTTTTATTTAAAAACAAAGTTTTTATAAGGCCAAGAGTGGTAGCACAGTAGGGAGGCAGAGGGAGGTGGTCTCTGTGAGTTTGAGATCAGTCTGGTCTACATAATGAGTTCCAAGCTATCCATATACTACAGCGTGAGACCTTGGTTCAAAACAAAGAAAAAAAAATTTTTACATCTACCTAATTGTGTGTGTGTGCGTGTGCGTGTGACATTGTGTATATGAAGGTCAGAGGACAATGTATAGGAGTCAGTTCTCTCCTTCTACAATGTGGGTCCTGGGGATGGAACGCAGGTCTTCAGGATTGCTGGTGCATGTCTGTACCTGCTGAGTCATCTGGACAGCTCTACATGTTTCCTTTGAATCTACCATATGTTGCTTGAAACCTACATGTATGTAGTTGGCTGTTATCGGAGCACTCAGGGAAATGAGGGATATTGAGTTCAAGGCCACTCTGTACTAAAAGTCAGCTATGACTCAAAAGAAAAATAGAAGAAAAAGAAAAATGACAAGGGTGAGAAGGAGGGGAAGAATAGGAGGAGGAAGGGAGGAGGAGGAGGAAGAGGAGGATGAGGAAGGGGAGGAGGAGGAAGAGGGGGAGGTGGGGGAGGAGGAAGAGGAGGAGGAAGAGGAGGAGGAGGAGGGGGAGGAGGAGGAGGAGGGGGAGGAGGAAGGGGAGGAGGGGAGGCGCAGCTGCCCAGGCTCGGGGCAAAGGATATGGCCATTCCGTGATCTTTTTGGCGTATTTTCTCACCACGTTGTCTTCGCTGAAGAGGAACAGGGAGCGGTTGACCGTGAGAAGGGAGAGGAGGAGGTGGGGGACGAGGCGCAATGGGGGGCGGGAAGAGGAGGAGAAAAGACCTCATAGGTATCCTCAGAAAAATGATGGAGAAGAGAAAAAGTTGTCTGCAAATGACTCATGATATCCCAGAAAATTAGATGCTTGGACATTTTTCTTTGCAGAGAAAGCCTGACTTCTTGTGACTATGGAAGCCAGGCTCAGCAGGGAGGGTGGGTGGCCTGCCAAGTTCCTGGTGTTTGTGGTTTATATGAGGGTGGCACTGGGGTTCCTCCCCTAGGATCTGTGGAGCTCTGAGGATGGAGGCTGAGGAGGATACAGGGAGGTCAGAGGACACTCCAGGCTGACTCACTGTACCCACCCTCCTGTTCTCTCAGAGCACCTACAGATGCAGGTCAGCAGATATTGTGAAATAAACCGCCAAAGTCTCATTTCCTCCTCAGGTGTATGAGCCTTAGGTATATAAGCCTGACCACTGGTGAGACCCTGAGCACAGGCCTCTGGGAACCACTAGGAGAGCTGCTGCCAGGAGCTGTCACCAGGAGCTTTCACCAGGAGGGTCACCATGTCGGTGAGATGTCAGCCCCTGGCTCACCTCCCTCCACTTATTTGTCATTGCCTGGGTGAGGGTGGGGGAGCTTTGGGTACAGTATTGCTGACCGTCTTTGAGACTCAGTTTCTCCATGTGCATCTAAAGAAAGAAGGGCAGATGGTATCTTAATGCATTAGCACTGGAGCTGTCTGTTCTGCCACCAAGCAGCTCAGAGCGAGAGCCTGTCTCTCCCTCACTCTAACCTGTTTTCTGTAAGAACAGCAATAACCATAATTTGATTGCTAATTTCTATTGAGCCTCAGAGAGATGAAGAAACCGAGGCTTGGGGGCTGTGACCAGGTCAGCGGTAGAGTCTGTGATTCGCAGGAAAAAGGCCCTGGCTTCGAATCCCAGAAGCACAAAGCAAAACAAACATTCGCTTATTTTCTTTGAGACAGGATCTCACTGTGCAGCCCTGCCTGCCCTGGATCTCACTATGTAGACCAGGCTCACCTCAAACTCATGTGAGATCCACCTGCCTATGCCTCCTGAGTGCCAGGATCAAAGGCACTCAGGATCAAAGGTCACCAGCCCCATCAATGCAAAATTTTTGTAAAAGGACTCAGATGGGAAGCAGTTCATATGGTAGAGATCTGTGCAGCAGGCACGAAGCCCTGGGTTTGATCCTTAGCACTGCGTACACCAGGTGAGGTGGTGCACACCTGTAACTCAGCACTCAGGAGGTGTAGGCAGGAAGAACAGAAGTTCAAGGTTAGCCTTGGTCACAGAGTGAATTCAGGGTTCCCCGGGGCTAAGTAAAAGTTTAACTTAAAAAAATGAGGAACAAAGAGAGGATAAAATGAACCTGAGGTTCAAGATGAAAATTCCTGAGGTGACTATCTACAAATTGCAGGGTGGTAGACTCTCTTTGTGATCTTGATGCATCCAGATCTTGCTCTGGTGGCCTTTCTGCATCCACATCCCTCTGCCCTGAGACCAGCGTGGGCTAGCCTGCAGGAGACACTGTTGTCAAGGCAGCCGGAGAAGGGATGCAGCTTCTACTGAGGAGAGACAAAGAAGTTGCTGGCTATCCAGCAGGAGGCCCCCAACAGACACTCACCCACCCCATGGCCCAGGGATACAGCCTGGAACTTCTCTAAGGCACCTGTGACTAGGGCTGGCGTGTCACCACTTTAGATCTCCCCCTTTTGGCTGTGTTTCCTACTGGCTCCTGAATGGAGCATTCTTCTGTTTCACAGGGCAGTTTTGAGATCACAAACATGGAGATGAAGATGGGGATGACCTTCACGATCAAGGGCAAAATCCACAACTGCATTGACAGGTGAGCACGGTGGAGGGGGGGCAGAGATGGAGGAGGAAGCTGGGACAGGCAGGCAGCCCTGTCAGATCAACCAGGACACAGTGACTTCAAGCCAAGAAGCCTTTCCTTCTTCCTTGCTCCTTCCCACTGTTGGGCTCCCACAGCCCTCTGGTTAGGATCTGCTTTTGCACATAAGCCTCAGGTCAGCAACCTTCAGAATGTCAGAATCAGAATCCACTGCATGTGCTCTGCTCCTTCCCCTAACAGCCACCAAAGGGGCAAGTGGAGAAAGCAGGAGCCCTGGTCCTGAGGGTCTGGTGCCTTTACTGAAATTCCACCCTGCCTCCCCCCTCAGGGATAAACACACACACACACACACACACACACTCCTAGTCCATCTGAAAGGACCTATGACTTCAACCAGAAGCAGCCACTAGGCGGCAGCAGTGGTCACCTTTGCATCTCTGAGACTCCTGGCATTGGTTTACCTCCCCTGCAACTCAGCACCAAGCTGTCATATGTAGAGGAACATTCCAGCATTTCTTGGGACTAATCTCTAGCCACCTAGGGATAGGAAGTCTGTAGGCAGATGCGTGGTGTAGGAGCTAAGGCAAAACCTCTTTTTCTGTGTCCCTCAAGTTTGCAGACATGCAGGGATACCTGGTCTGACATGCCCCAGTGATGGAACCCTACAACCCAGAATGAGCTGTTTGCAGGGACATGAACGTCTAGCCCAGGCTTCGGTAGTGATCCTGCCAAGTCATTCATCCCCTGCTGACATACCTCAGGTGACAGGGAGCTCATCACTTAGGGTTGGCTATTTATTGTCAATCTGAACAGGTCTTGAATTTATTCACCCAGGAAACACACACTTAATTTCTGAAATTGTCACCATCAGTTACTGTCAACAGCCTCAGTCCCTGCTCCAAATGAATCGCAGCACTACAGGGCCACGCCTGACTCCATCGCCACCTCATTTCAAGGCTCGGATCTCAGTTAAAACATCTTGGTGATTCTTCTAGCTTGTGGTTGGCCAGGACTACGCTGTCCTCACTGTCAATCTTCCTACAGCTTTTACATTAAGCTGGGCCAGGGGAAAGACCTCCTGAACCTTGTTTTTAACCCTCGCTTTGACGAATCCGCCATTGTCCTCAACTCGTGGGACGGCACCAACTGGGGACAAGAGCTTCGGGTCGACCATATGTGCTTCTCTCCGGGATCCGATGTCAAGGTGAGGTCAAAGGGAACAAACCTCAGGGAGGGTGTCACAGGGAGAGCCCAAATGGGAGAGCCCCTGCCTGGATACAGGAGTTTAAGCCACCAGGCAGCATCAGGACCCTTCCCGGCCTCCTCCCTCCTTCCTGACTCCTCCCTCCCTCTGCAGTTCACTATGGTCTTCCAGGGAAATCAGTTCCAGGTGACACTGCCAGATGGATATGTGATCAGCTTCCCCAACAGAACCTCTGCACTACGTCTCTGCAAATGGTCTCTACGTCTCCTCCTTTCATCTTGACTGACAGGGAAGCACCTCAGGACATGACCTGTAGCCCCAAGCCCATTTGATTCCTGCTGCAAGACCCACCAGGACTGGCACCTTTGCATCCTGGGTCCCCCAACCCTTCACCCACAGCTTCTGCCCCTCTGTCCATTCCCCACCCTTCCTCACAAGGTCAAGAACAAAGACCCTTGTTTATTGATTCATTCCATAGTGTATAGTGTTATCACTTTCTATGGGTTATAATGCTTCTGGTGTCTTGCTGATGAGGTACTGCCTCATGTAGAGGATGAGAGGTAAACCCTAAGCACGCCAACCTGCCATCCTCCCCACCCACCCATGGCATTCTCCTCAGCACCTGCCATGCTGCCCAGGAGAATGTGGAGTAGAATCTGATTCCAGGCACCTGAGTCCATGGTCATCCAGGAACTGTAGATTACGGTCCCTCCTGGGCCTCTTATTATCAGGCATTCCTGGCTGGCTGCTCATTGCCTAGTCTGGCCCCCTCCCCTGGCTGGGAGACCTTGAAGCAGGTCCTCAACTTTCCAAACTCCAATGAGGGAAAGGCCTCTCAGCAGGGGCTGCGGCCTCACTTCTAGGTATTCCGTATTTCCTAGAGAGACACCTTTTTATCCAAAAAACTTTTTAAATCAAACACTGGAGATAGGAAAGTGGAACCCTCCTGTCAGTTTGCACCTGACCTGAGACTGGAGGACACGTGGAAACATTAAGGAGGACCCCAAAGTGTTGGCAGCCTTCTGGGTTGCACCTCCATGAGCTCTTCCTAGACCTGACTGTGAACTTGTATCAATTTCCTGCCCAATTCACACTTGCTGTATGTGTGACTAGATGTGTGTGTATCTTGAAGTCCCATTAGATAATCTCAAAAATGCAAAGGGGGCCCCGGAGATTGCTCAGTGGTTAAAGGCCCTTGCCACAAAGACTGACAACCTGAACTCATTCCCCAGAACCCATGATGGAAGAAGTCAGCCAACTTCTCCAAGTTTTTCTCTGGTCTCCACACATGAGCCATGTCACACAAGGCCCTCCCCCACAAATAAGAAAACCTTGTCACACAAGGCCCTCCCCCACAAATAAGAAAACTATAAAAGCACATTGGCCACCCCACAATTGCTGTTTGCAGGAGGGTGGCAGGTAACTGCAATTTGGATCTCTTTCCTTTGGAAACTGGGAAGGTCACAACATTAGGAACACAGCTGGGGCTCTTCCCAATGCCACAGAGCGGGGAGGAGCCTGGAACTTAAACCCTGTTAGCTTCCAGGTAAATCCATGTCTGATTGAGACCTGTGCACACGTGCATATTTTAACATCAATCGTGTTTCCCATGTCAACACGGGCACTTACCACAGGCCAGGCACAAAACACCCATGTTCTGTCCTATCTTGTGCATGTCTTCTGGCATCTCCAGGCATTGCATGCATGTGATGCACCTACATGCATGCAGTCCAGACACTCATACACATAAAATAAAAAGTAATCAATTAATAAAAAACTTAAAAAACAAACGGAAGGTGTTCAGCTCCTGATGATGAACACTTGTGGCTGACCTCTGGCCTCCACATGGCGGTGCACACTCGTGCATACACATCACACCCACACGCAAGCAAGCACATGAATACACACACACACACATGCACACACACAAACCAACAAAAGGAAACAAAATGAAAACACCTCATGTCCTAATTTGTCCCTCCATTGCTGTGACAAAACACTCTGACCAATACCAACTTGGGGAGGAAAGGGTTTATTCAGCTTACATCTCCCAGGTCGCAGTTCATCCAGGAGCCCAAGGTAGGAACTCAGGGCAGGAACCTGGAGGCAGGAGCTGGAGCACAGGCCATGGAGGAATGCTGCTTACTGGCTTGCTCCCCTGGCCCCTGCTCAGCCTGCTTTCTTATGCAACACAGGCCCACCTGCCCAGGGGTGGTACCACCCACAGTGGGTTGGGCCTTCCCACATCACTCATCAAGAAGATGCCCCTCAGACATGGCCACAGGCCAGTCCTATGGAGGCAATCCCCCAATTGGGGCTCCCTCAACTCAGGTGTGTCAAGTTGACACTAAAGCGATCCAGCACAATTGACTCCTTGTCCACTTGACACACAAACACATCACTATTAAACCATAACCTTTCCAATTCTTATCCCCAATATATGATATGTGATAACATTAATATCACAACATAGGACAGTACAACCTTAAAAATCCACAGTCCTTAAAAAATCCAAACACTTTAAAGTCCATAGTCTCTTTTAAAAGTCTCTTAACTGGGGGCTCCTTTAAAATCTAAAACAAGTATTGTCTTATTTCAAAAGGGAAGAATCGGGCACACCTAAGCAAAACCGAAGTCCAGCAAAGTAGCTCAAGGGTGGACATCTGGGATTCACTCACGATCTTCTGGGCTCCAAAGGGTTTTGGCAGTGCCACCTCTCTGACTCTGCCATCTACTGCACACACAGCTTGTCTCGAAGACCCAGGCCGGCTCCATTCCACACCTGCCACTGCCTTTGGTGGTCATCCCATGGTCCTGGCACTTCCAAAAACCTGGGGTCTTCACTGAAACTGAGGCTGCACCCTCGCCAATGGCCTCTTCTTGCCTCTTGGGGTGCAAAGCCTCAGATTCTCTCCATGACCCCTTCAATCCTGGGGTCTTCACTGCAACTGAAGCTGCACTTTCACCCATGGCCTTTCCTGGCCTCTCAGAGTGCCAAGCCTCAGCTGCTCTCTGTGACCCCTTCACGCTTTCAACACCAAAACCATGCAGGAGACTTACATATTACCGAGTCCTGCTTTCAGCTAGAGATGGAGGCTTGGGTCCCCTCTTGACCACAGCTTCTGTGTGCAGACCCTGAAAAAACACTTCCCAGAGGATTTCACAACGGTGATGCTGGTCTATTGTTACTTACAGCTGAATTTTCAGCCCCAGCTAACCAGCATCAGTTGTCCCAGTAAAGCAAAGGTTTTACTTCAGCTTCTAGTCTCTTCTACAGGTGATTCTTCAGCTCCAGTTCACCAGAACCCACGATTCTCAATTCAAAATATCACACAAACAGCCCTGATAGTCTCCGCTTCCCTTTGAAGCTTCATGAGCCAGGCCTCCATTGTTCACAACTCTTTCAGAATAACTTTTCCAAGCTCCACAGCAACAAACTCTGAGCACTCAATGGCTTTTCCAGCCCAAAGCTCTGAATGTTTCTACAATCCTCCTAAAAAAACCAAGGTCAGGTCTGTCACAGCAGTGCCGCACTCTCTGGTACCAATTTCTGTCCTAGTTTGTCTCTCCATTGTTGTGACAAAACACTCCGACCAATACCAACTTGGGGAGGAAAGGGTTTATTTAGCTTACATCTCCCGGGTCACAGTTCATCAGGGAGCCCAAGGTAGGAACTCAGGGCAGGAACCTGGAGGCAGGAGCTGCTGCACAGGCCATGGAGGAATGCTGCTTACTAGCTTGCTCCCCTGGCCTCTGCTCAGCCTGCTTTCTTATGCAACACAGGCCCACCTGCCCAGGGGTGGCACCACCCACAGTGGGCTGGGCCCTCCCACAGCACTCAGCCATCAAGAAGATGATCCACAGACATGGCCACAGCCCAGTCCAATGAAGGAAATTCCCCAATTGAGGCTCCTTCAACCCAGGTGCGTCAAGTTGACACTAAAGTGATCCAGCACACCTCATCACTGCCTCCTAGGCTGTGGTCCTTCCCACTATTCCATCAAACACTTGAAGCTGCCTTTCATCCCAGGGCTGGAAGCTGGGTATGTGAGGGCTGTCTGGTGGCTCCCCACAGCACTCCTGGGCCCTGTTCTCCACTGAGGCCAGAATAGCAGGAAGCAAACAATCAGTCCTTGTCCAATTCACACCCTTTATTTCTCCTCAGTCTCCTAGACCCGAACCCATAATCCTCTTAGATCTAGCAACCCCACAGGGCCACTGCAAAGTATTGGGCAAATTCTCTTTTTTTACTTATCGTGTTAGAGTTCAGACCAAGGATGTTGACCTGCTAGACCAGCGCTCTGCCCCTGAGCTGCTCCCAGCAGAGCCTCAACTTCTGAAAAGCCAAATTCCTCAGCCCTGCCAGAGAGGGCAGCCAAGGCTCTTCGGGCCAGATCTGCTGGGTGTTTTAGGCATCTCAAGAGAAAGTGTTTTCTGCCCCCTGGTGTCCACTAAGAGAGCCACCTATATTATCAGAAAAAAACAGCTTGTCGGTTGCTGAACATCAACCTCAGCACAAACAACAACAAAACTTAAAAGACACGCATGGTGTTAAAAATACTGCATGTACCTGATATGGTGGTTCACATCTTTAATTCCAATACTCTGGAGGCAGAGACAGAGGCAGAGGCAGAGGCAGGAGGAAGAGATCAATGTGAGTTTGAGGCCAGCCTGGTCTACATAACCAGTTCCAGGTGAGCACAGGCTACATAGTGAGACCCTGTCTCTAAAAAACCAATGAAACAAAAGAAAAAAACACAACTCAAAACCAAAAACCTCAAAGGGCTGGAGAGCTGACTCTGCCATAATTCTTGCTTCTATTTTTAAAATTGTGTTTTAATAATTTTTTGCTAATTTTATTTAGTTTTTGTAAATTTCATACAATAGATTCTGGACATATTTAGATGCCCTACGCTATCTGTACCCTCCCTACTTCCCGCTCACTTTCATGGACATCCATCTATCTATCTATCTATCATCTATCCATCCATGTATGTGTGTGTGTGTGTGTGTGTGTGTCTGTGTGTGTGTCTGTGTGTGTGTCTGTGTGTCTGTGCCTATAGAGTCAAATTTGTGTCCCGAATTGCCCTTTAGTGTAGGTTCATCCACTAGAAACTGGTCAACTTAACAAGAGTCTCACTCTTTAATGGGACTCACCCTAAGCCACTGGTTGCCAGTACGTCCTCAGGTAGGATTGGGGTCTCCTACCCATTTCCCCACATCTATACTGGTATTTTGTGTGTCTTGAGATTATGTGGGACTTCTGCGTGCTGGCTCAGTTG